ACAAAATATTATAAAACAAAGAGAGAGTTCCATCTTCCTTCTTGGAATGCTGAAACTCTATTTGACCCTGGAAAAAAACTAAAAGGAAAACAATCAGTTATTTCAAAAGAAGATTAGCAGTGTAGTTTCTGGTGACTCACTTAGCAGTTGGACTTGCCCAAACTGGTTCTGGCTGTTCATTTTTAAACATTAGCCAGTCAAATCCACAGTAAGCTGATCTTGATGTCTAGTACAGACTAAGCCTGGTAAGTTTATATATATATATATATATATATATATACACACATACATATATATATATAATCTGTCTATATGGATTTGTACTCATTCATCCAAAATTTCTCCCAAAAACTATTCTGTGTACTTGTATGTAAAATTTCCTTAGTAGAGTGAGTTGGAAACAGACTATTAAAGCATTGTTAAATCAGTTTTATAGAGCCAGCCTCAAGTTAAAACAATTTTCATGATGTTTCTGAGAAAATCTTCTTTAAAATATTTACTCATTTCACTGTGCACAATGCCTATCATTCCATTAAAATGTATGTTTATCTAACTCTAAAATAGTTTATCTTGCTTCTATTCAAATCATCATTAAAGAACCATACTAAGTTATGTTGAATTGTGTACAATTTAGTTTATTGTATTCTTTCTAATTATACAGTTTAGTGAGATAAGTCTCTGATCAATGACAAAAGAGGTTGAGAGCAAAGGAAGTAGTGTGAAAATGACAGGTTTTTTTGTTTTTGTTTTTTTGTGTGTGTGTGGGTTTTTTTTGACAGGCAGAGTGGACAGTGAGAGAGAGAGAGAGAGAGAGAAAGGTCTTCCTTTACTGTTGGTTCACCCCCCCAATGGCAGCTGCGGCCGGCGCACCACACTGATCCGAAGCCAGGAGCCAGGTGCTTCTCCTGGTCTCCCATTCGGGTGCAGGGCCCAAGCACTTGGGCCACCCTCCACTGCACTCCCTGGCCACAGCAGAGAGCTGGCCTGGAAGAGGGGCAACTGGGACAAAATCCAGCGCCCTGAATGGGACTAGAACCCGGTGTGCCGGCGCCGCAGGTGGAGGATTAGCCTAGTGAGCCGTGGTGCCAGCCTGAGTTTTTCAATACTGGAAAAATGGCACTAGGGGACAGTGGGTAGACCCCCCCCCCCAAAAAAAAAAAATAAGAGTAGTAGTAATCTCAAAAAAGGAGGAAGAGGAAAAAGATGAGGCTTGGGGTTGGGGAGGAGGAAGAGAAGCAGAAGAAGGAAGGAAGGGATGGAAGTAGGGAAGGAGGAAGAGGGAAAAAAATGTTCACTAAGAACTTCTATAATGGGCCTTATAATCCACAAATTTCTAATGGAATACATTCATTGAAATTCAGTTCTAAATGTCATAGTTTTTATGATTATTTCTTCTTTGACCCAAAAATTGTTAAGAATTTAGTCTGCTGAGATAGGCCTGGGACCTTTGTTTCCTTTTCATTTTATAAAATTATATTATTTTGATTTTAAATGCAATCTACATGCTATTGATTTCTTATTATGTGTTCAAATTTCTTCTGAACCTATGAGATGAATTATTTTCAAAACAATCTGTAAGTATTTAAAAGAATGTACATTCTCTATTCATTCTGAGTGCCTACATTGAAACCAATGGACCAAATTCTCAAACATGTTACTTAAATTTTCTTTATCATTACACTTTAGCTTAGTTTAAATCTATTGACTTTTGAGGAAGGTGTTAATTATCCAGATATAATTTCTTCCTGAAAGTCTGGCCATTTTCACTTTACATATTTTGAAGCCTTTTGTTACATGCCTTCAGACTGAGAAGTGTTTTGTCTTTCTGAAGCATTGTAAGTTATTATGATTTCATAGCCTCTTAAACCTAAGAATTATTTTCTTAAGGTCTGTTTTCTCTGGTATGTATATAACTAATCCTGATTAATTTTGATTATTATATCCTGATATCTCTTTTCTATCCCCATAGATTCAATCATGTTTTCAATTGAAGTTCTGTGCAACAATGTTTAAGGTTTTGTGTATCACTTCTCGGCCTTTTGGTTAAGATCAAGTGTAGGTTTTGTGTAATGTGTCAGTGAATAGGTTAGAAACACCATAGATACTGCTGGCCTTTCAAAACACTTCAACTTGAGAATCTTTATGTTTTAATTGCAAAATATTGCTCACATGCGTTATGATGATGTTACATGATCTATTTGGATTTATTTTTACCATAAAATACCATAGAATTTCAACTTTCCGTTTACCATACATTTTCTTTTCTTCCTTTTTCCACCTTTCTTGCCTTCTAACGGGCTGATGGTTTTTTTTCTTCCTTTTTTTCCATAAATGGTTTAGAAATATATTCTATGTTTTCCATAATTATCATTAATAAATAACATATGTACTTGCATTACAGTATTTAAAGGTGATCGTGGGGTGGGTATTGTGTCACAGCAGGTTAAGCAGTGCTTGGGATGTCCACATCCCGTATTTAAGCACCACTAGTTATCTGCTTTCAATCCAAATTCAGGTAATGTGCCTGGGATGGCAGCAGATGTTGACTCTGGAAGTACAGTTATAAAACCGTATCAGTTGGTTACCTCTGGAGAAAGCAAAGAGCTATTGAATAAGCATGACAAGGAGAGCATTTTTTGTTAAATACCTTTTCTGCAGTTTGAATTTTGGTTATATGTACATATATATAAATATATAAATTTTAAAAAGCAGTAATTTTTTTTAAAGTTAGTCAACACTTCTCAAAATAATTCAAGGAACTTAGAAAGCTTGGATTCCTGCTGTTCATGTGGGGGACTTGCATGAACTTCCAGGCTCCTGGCTTCAGCCTTGCCCAGCCCCATCTGTGTGGGCATTTAGGGAGTGACCCAGCAGATGGAAGATTTCTCTCTCTGTCTCTGTCTCTCCCTCTCTTGTGTCACTCTCCCTTTCAAGTAAACACATAAACAAATCTTGCCTAAAAATTAAAGGTAATCATTATACAAATTGGACTGTTAAATAATTTGTTATTTCAAACAATAGGTTGTTAGGTAGTCCTATAAGTGCTAAATTTAGGCAGCCCTATATGTACAGAACAATCATCAACTATGCAATTTAATAAGAAAATGCAAAGAACATTTATGTGTGTGTAATGTTACTATTTTTGTATATACTTATATACTCATAAAATTGTATATGCAAATAAATTAATATGTACAAAATATCTCTGGAAGTATGCCTATCAAACTGTCACAGTTCATTGCCTCAGGAGAAAGGAAACCATGACTTATTGAACAAGTATGAGGAGGACAACACTTTTCAGTGAGTATCCTTTGTACAGTTTGAATTTTATACTATATATGCATATATATACATATATAACATTTTCATAAGACAATAGTAATTTTTTAAGAATTAGTCAACACTTCTCCAAAATAACTCGAAAAACTTAGGAAGTTTTAAACCTAATTTTGTGGGCTTTTACATCCTTATTGATATCAAATGCTTCAGTTAGCTATTTCTGCTCAACTGACAACCAAAAACTCCCAGCAGCATTCGACAGTAAGAAGTCATCTCTCACACGTGTCTTTCGCTCGGCTATCCACATCTGGCAAGCAAGACCTGGCTGGACTGAACACCGGGTCCAAACTGTGCATTGTGTCCCTACCCGCTCTTGCTGTCTCCCATCTTCCCTGACCCAGTGGCTACCCAAAACGTACTCATCTCATTGCAAAAAGCAGGAAATCAGGAGCTAATGACACAGTTATGTACATTTCTCTATTAGCATCCCTTTGGCCAAAGCAAGTTACAAGTTCAAGTCCAACTTCCGTAAGTTAGAGAAGTATACTCGCATGAATATGGAGAGTACAGAGTGAGTGAATATTACTGAATAATGACAAGCCTGTATCATCTAGTGCTTTAGCTATTCTTTCCTTTGAAATGTTCTTCAAATTAGTCTCTTTGTAATACCTGGTATTTACTTTGAGTTGATAAGACTTCACCTTCTTTTGCCCAAATGTTGCTCCTTGCATTCCATTCTTTTTTATTTAGTTCAACTTCCCTCTTAGTAAAATAATTCTGTTAATGCATGATTATTTCCACAAGGGTCACGGGATGGTAAACACAGTTTCTAGAAATGAATCTTAAATGATAATTTAGCTAACTATAGAGTAGAAATGGATGAGATTTAGATACAACAAATGAATAGTTATTAGTATTAAAATAACTTGAATTTATAATCCACCAAGTCCTTTATACAAAGAATTAGGGAATGAATGGGCCCTAAAACATGACACTCTGATCAACTGTGTGGACATAGAAAATTTCTGAAAAGTATGAATTCTAACAATGGCAAAAAGTAGAACTGAATACAATATTGGACTAGGCCAAAGTTATCCATATGATATACTTGTCAGAAATTTTAAATTTCATATACGAGCTCTATTGTTTGAAACTTAGCTACAACTCAGACTCAGTAATGGACTATGGATGATGAGAGTGAGATTCCAGAAGTTCCTTTGCATATTGTAGAGAAAATAATTGAAAAGTTTAGGAAAACAGGAATGTCAAAAACACACATGGCATGTTTGCACTGCCATCTCCTATTGTGTCTCCCAGGAGGATCCAGAGTACTCTCTCCTTTTAAGACATAGAGAAATGCAAAAGAGAAAGCCACTAGCATCTTTAAATTCCTCTCAAAATATAAACTTTGTAGCCTGAAAAAAAAGGGGGAGAAATGCTATATCAGGCCTTCCTGATTTTAAAAGGTATGATGGGATCTTAAAGTGCCAAAGTCAAGTAGGAAAAATCACCTAACAGATAATAAAGATATAAATTAGCTCGTCAACACCAAACATTTGTATCTCATATTCTACTTTAAGTGGGGTTTTTAAAACAAAATAATGTCCCTGCTGCAACTACAATATACCCATCCATATGCACAGACAAAAATAACATTCTTGATCCTACCATGGATGTGCAAAATATATGAAAGGATATAGGAAGACAATTTGATGACTTACAACAGGAACTTAACTGGGACCTCTCTGTCACCCCAGAACTGGTCACTAAGACCTGAAATTCAAGAAAAAGACATTTTAAATAGCTTCACCAAATATAGTGGCAAATAACTGAATAGTTAGTGGTAAAGATAGTAGTAATAGTTGAGTGATCTATAGGAGCTAGATGCCCTGGGCAGTTGAACCAGCAAACCTCTCCTTCCAAACAGGCATCCCAGATGCACCATACCTCAACAGAAAACACAAGAGGAATCAAGTATTGTCTCCCTCACCCTCTTAGGTAGAAAAAGACAATGGGACTGGAGGGACTCTACTCTTCTAAGACCAATAAGAGAAGACATCTCGGGAAAATCACTCATAAAAAGTAGAAGTACCTGACAGGAGGAAACAGTGGCATCTCATTCAGTTAAGCCAGTGGATTTGCTTTCTCCCCAGAGACAAGAAAAATAAAATTGGAAAATTCTAGTGGGACAAAGGGAGGCAGTGTGTCAGCCAACTCTTCCACCATTTATCATAAGACATGACTAAACATTCTGAAAGCCAAGAAACACAAATAGAAGACAGCCAGGTTTGAACTATCTTACCAGCACACAAGAAAACCTGCCTGGTGAGGGGAACGTGAACAGAGAGTAGCCTTGGGATATAACCACAGGAGTTAAAGAGCAGTGGAAAAATACCTGTCCAAGATCTGTGCAGGGAGCTCCAAAAGAATGGAATCTTCTCCTAATGTTACTTAAGGATGGTAACGTTTTGACTGTTGATTGAAAGCCCCGATCCAAGAAAAAGAAAGTCTATTTAAATTAGTTTTTGTTTAGTTCCAAAGGTTCAGTTACTAGGTTACAAGTCCATAGAACGTTGAAAGTGGGTGAGTCAAGGAAGAAATAACTTCTGAAGGCTTGGAAAATGGTGACTTTCCAGGCCAAAGAAAGGAAGGGGGAGGACTAGCTTGGAGGAGGTTGGGAAAACTGACGGGTTTAGTCTCAGACCCAGTGACTTTCAGGGGGTGCTGGGATTTCCAAATGTAAAGATCCAGAAAGTAACTGAAAATACAAGCAGGAAAAGGCAAAAAGGAGGGAAAGAGGGCAGGTACGGCCCTCCTCCGGCCCTCCTTCCGAACGATGATCCCCCAGTCCTCGATCCGAAAGGGAATTAATCCTCCACGGAGAGGGCACGCATTAAGAGCGCTCAGACCTCACTCCAAGTCACAGTACAGGGTTCCTTTGTCCTTGAGGACACAGGAGAAAATTAAAATGTTTGAAGGTCACGTTAAAGTAATGATGGGATGATCAAAATAGGGTGGCCCCTGCTTGTTAGCTATTCTTATTACTTCATTAACAAAACAGTAAACTTTTACATTTGACGATAGGTGGTTTAAGTCCCTTCTACTTTCTATGAAAAGGACATGCCTTTCTTTTCAAGAAAGCCAGACTTTGTTGAAAGGTTCTGTCACTTAATAACTCCAGCTTTGCTATTTAAACAGCCTGGATTTGTCCTTAATGACCAGACAAGTGTCTGTCACTGTAAAATTGGGCAAGTCAAACTTTTAACTTTTGCAAAGTAAAAGTTAACTTTCTGAAAACCGTGCTTCACAAGAATGAGGGGGACAAAATGTAAAAGGGCCTAATTTCCTACACATATAATCTTTCTCAACCAAAAATAAATGTTATATTTATTTTCTTCTCTAAATTTGAGTCCTAGCACTTAAACTTCATTCATAAAAACTAAACAAGATGGGGCTGTTCATTTCAAACAGGACAAATGTGTATATCTGGATGTTCATGGTGCTTAATAAAGCATATCCTAATATGAATAAAGGAAAAAAAACACCTTTAGTCTGAAAGCAAGGGTGTTTCCCCCCGTGGCACTTTATGACATTTGGCAGCTCATTATCACACTTCACAGAGTCTTGTGTCAGCATGTCAGATTTCTCTAAATTTTGACAGAATTAAAGTAGTGCCATTTGATATAATTGATATTGTACAGTTAATCAGGCAGTGGCTCCATCACAGAGTAACACTCTCAAAAGGCTTAATTACTGAACTGTGAAGATTTACTGCCATCTGGAAGTTCCTTCCCAAAGTTCTGTTCCTGAATTTTATGTAGGGTTCACAAAAATAACTTGGTCCATTTAGAAATCATGCCCTCAATTTGGAAATTAAAATTGTTATTTTTGGAATCTCATTTGGCCTAGAGATCATAGAAACCTTATGAAAAATAAAGGAGCAATGGCAAACGAGAAAACGGGAAATAAAAGTGGAAGTTCTGGAAATTATTTTCTTTATATAACGTTTGAAAGTATAGGCTCTGGAGCCAGATGGCTGGATTTCAAACCCCAGTTCCGCCACTTACTAATCATCTGACCTTGGGCAGATTATATAAACTCTCTGTGCCTCGGTTGCTGCATTTGTAAAATGAGGGTACTATTAACACCTCCATTATAGGGTTAGAGTGAAGATTAAATGTACTGGCAATTGAAAAGTGTTAAGAACTGTCCCTGACACGTGGTATGGGAATGATGTGCTGCTGTTATTATTACCAAGCTTTTGAAATTACTTTGTCCCCAGGATTACTGTCACCGTAAGAAACAAATATACCGTTTGCAAAGCTACTTCTGGGAAATGAGCTTCCCATGTCTAAAGATGAAGGTAAATACAAAGTAGCACCGTCGGTGCCCAGGAATCCAGCGCTGAGATTCCCTTTGACTTAAAGGTTGGATTGCATTTCTTTGATGTTGCTTTTTTTTTTTTAAGATTTGTTTATTTATTTGAAAGTCAGTGTTACACAGAGAGAGAAGGAGAGGCAGAGAGAGACAGAGAGAGACAGAGAGAGAGAGAGAGAGGTCTTCCATCCGCTGGTTCACTCCCCAAGTGTCCACAATGGCCAGAGTTGTGCTGATCTGAAGTCAGGAGCCAGGAGCTTCTTCCTGGTCTCCCACATGGGTGCAGAGGCCCAAGGACTTGGGCCATCTTCCACTGCTTTTCCAGGCCAAAGCAGAGAGCTGGGTTGGAAATGGAGCAGCTGGGACTTGAACTGTGCCAATATGGGATGCTGACACCACAGGTGGCGTCTTCACCTGCTACGCCACAGCGTCGGCCCCATCTTCTATGTTTCTAAAAGTCTACGATCTTAAACACTCTTTACAATCAATTATACTAAGGATGTAGCTGGCAGGAAATTTCTGAAATAAGGGATTTGACCAAGAAGAAACATTAATTCATCATCTTCTATACTGGTAATGCAATATCTAGGAGAAGAAAGGAACAAACAGAGCAGTAGAAGGAGTGAGGAGAGCAGAGGGAAGAGGATGGGAAGAAGAGTCAGTACTGGAAGAGGAGATCTCTATTAGTAGGATGTTAAAAATAATTCCTTGAGTGAGTACTTCCATCGAGCTGACTAGAACCCCAGGAAGCTATAGCAAAATATAAAGGAAAAGGAGAAAAGAAAACAAAAGCATGTAAAAGTTTAGTCATGCTCCAAAATGAGAAATGTGTTCATTTATACAAAAAAGAATTGATTTCATAAAAATCATCATATATTGCCAATGTAACGCAGATTTTCCAATCTAAAGCTTTGTTGTGAATATTTTTAATTGTTACATATTCTTCTATTATTGTATATATTTTGCAGATTCACAGTGTCTCATTGAAAATCATACCACAATTTATTTGACAAATCCTGACTTGATGAACATTTATATTGTTGTCACTAATTTGATGATATGGTAATGTGATCGTGCCCATAACATTGGACACCTCTTAAGCATTCCTTTAGATCTTCTTGATCTCACTGTTTCTTGCAGACACCACTGTCACAACTAATATTGCACAGACTCTGACCAGCACTACCCAGATGTAGCCAGATAGCATGTTGACTCAAGCACCTGTGATGAGGTGCAGGAATTTTCCACTGACTAAGATGGTAAATGCCAAGGAACGACTTGTTGTGTATAGCCCATGAGGCGAATTCTGACGAGTGGGAATGAAAGTGGTGCACATATGCTTGTCGCTTTTCTCTCTGGGTGAACAGATATGATACACATTGTGGAAGGTTTCTCAGATGGCCCATAGGAGTTAACAAACAGCTGTGATTTTCCTCTTTCTTTGCTTTTGTTTCCTTGTCCCTCACTTCTGCTTCTCCAAATAAAGCATGTGCATAAAAGGTTCTGTCTTAGGCTATGTTCTCTGGGGGAAATCCTTTATGAAAGATGGCATCAGAATGACCTGGAAAGAAGACCTTCAGAATAGGATTTGGGGACTGGATTACTTAATGATCAGACCTTAATAAGGAATTCCCTTCCACCCCCAACTGGTGGTAAGAATTCTTATTATGCAAATGACACCTCAATCAGTAAGGTTTTGTCTTTTGATTGACTGAGATGAGGTATAGGTAGAAAGTAAAGCATCTGGATGGTATGATGCAAATATAATTATGTATATTATAATTTTAAGGATTTTTATATAGCCTAGCTTCTGTTTACTGTGTTGAAAACTTTTAAAAATGAAGTCCATTAAAGCTAATTGTTAAGGCCAGCACACTGAATAGGACCTCTATGGTAAATTTGAAGGAAAAACTCATCTCCTTCCACCACTAGGCCGACTGCGTTAAAAATCAGTTTCTGGTTGTAACTGTAAGGATGGCAGAGCTTAAATAAGATTATGAGGCACCATCTGAATTGATCTTCAAGACCAGAGGCTGGGCCCACTTAGGTACATGGTTGGACCTGAGAGCTGAAATGAGGACATTTGGCTGGAAGAGCCTGAGAATCACAAACCCTCACACTCTCCTAAACATGCCATTGTGCCCTTTTGGGCCCTTTGCCTGAAAAAAAGGTGTTTTCCCTTGCATAGATAACTTGCAGTGACTTCACTTAAGACTGGTGAGGCCATGCCCTTGAAATTCATCATTGCCTTCAGTCCCATGACCAGGGTCATCTGAATGGCTACTCAGTGAAAACTGTTCCTGGAAGAAAGAGCTGAAATACCAAGGAGCTAAAGGACCTAGCTAGTATGTACTAGCAGGATTCAGGAGACCCAGCACGATTGTGCTCTAGGTGTAGGTAACATGGGTGTTGAAATTGAAGTCTGGAAGGGGGGAATTGTTGGACATGATCTTTATCACAGGATTCAATGTCCTGCCAGGAATATGCTGGAGGTGGGCCTAATGCTCTCTCGGGATGGCTTTTTGAAACTTGACCTAAATAAATTAAATGATTGCAGATACTACAACTTCCTTGGAATGTTATTGAGAAAATCATCCAAAGGTTCATGGAGATAGAAATGTAAGAATGAATTTACTATATTAGTCTAGAGAATACATGTGATGATTATCTTTTAGAAAGATGACCAAAACATCATCTCTTATCACACATACTACTCTACAAACTTACCACATTTCCACCTAAAGATAGTGTCTGTTGTCCTCCCATTGAATCTGGGCAGGCTTAGGAATATGTCTATGAACGGAATACAGCAAATGACACTGCAAGATTCCCTGAATCTAGGTTACTAGGTGATATACCATATAGATGACATCACACTAATTGGCTTTTTGGGTGACATATGGCAAGTGTCCTGGATTCTTTAAAAAGACCCATGAATGTCAAAGGTTGGATTACAAATCCCCCCAAAAATCAGAAGCCTGACACATCTGTGAAGTTTCAAGGAGCCCATTGATCTAAGCATGGTGAGGCATCTTGAAGTAAAAATATGAACATATAGCCCAGACACTCATGTTAGTCAGGAGATAAGACGGGCAGTTCTGAGAAGGTTGATTACAATGGATCCCCTCTACCTTGGGGGTCAAGTGCTGGCCAA